AAAGTTAAATAAATGGCAGAACTGTGGAAAAAATTAAAATCTAAGAATATTGACATTTTGCTGCTGATTCATCCTGCAACATGAAGACTGTCACAAATCACAAATTTGCGTAACAAATTTCAATAGCTACCAAGCCCTACATGACTTCTGTAGTTTCCAAATTAAGAAGCTGAAAGATCTGTGAGGTCATCTTGCCTGATCTCCTTCACAGTTCAGGATTGCTCCCTGTGACATTTTGCACAGTTCTATACAGAAAAAAACCAAAAACAATAGAAGATATAACGTGCTATTAAAATGAGTGAGAAATCAAGGCAAATTCTCATCAAGCAGCATACAGTAATAAAATGCTGGTAATGAAGATGCTATCAGATTGTGTTTTATATGCATATTTACAACCCACTGGGGGGGGTGTTACTAAAGTATCTGTAAACAAGTGTAACTGCTGATTACATGCCTTACAATTTCACAGTTCCACTGAACATTCCTGTCTAGCTGTACATGGAACTAGCACTTGCTTCAGCACAACTAGGATGGTCAACTGGGGGTGAAGATTCACTCCACTAAAACCACCTGTTCCAATCATTGTACTCTAGCAATCACTACAAATTCAGAAAAATCACATGTCAACTTCACTACTTTCCTGCTTTTGGCATTATCAAGTTCTTTTTTGGTATAGGTAAAGCTTGTGTCAATTTATTTATTAGTTCTTTTTCAGTCAGCTCCTTTATATTCTTCAAGAGACTCTCTTTTTCCACATAGTCTGTGGAAATACCAGAGACTACCTATTCCAGTCATTTAGCCTTTGGAATGATCTCACCTATTCCTGATTTGTTTTCAGAAAGCAAATCCAAATTAAACTATTCCCCATCTCCCTGATATCTTTTCTTTGTCAGCTTCCTTGACAAAATCTATACACCAAAATAATCCTAGGCCTTCTACTGAACACTGCTGACTTCCTCACCTATCCCCTGTAATTTGGATACATGTTTTACTTCATCCTTGCAGAGAAATCAATACCTCCACTCTTTCCTCCTTCATAGGGCAATTAGCACCTTTCTCCTTCCACTCAGACAATCACAATCTCATTATCTTCCACTTGGATTTATCAATCCTCCCTATACATTCCTGAATCCCACATTAGTGTCTCCAGATCCCTTCCAAATATCCTATGACTTCCAAGGTTTCCCATTCTCCTCTGAAACATGCAATACTGGAAAAAACTCACAATTGTAAAGGCTCTATGTGCTCCTTATACACTTTCTGCCTGTGTGAGGGCTGATGATTTCCATTATTGGTACATCTGCTGCTCTCACGTAGTATTCTCTCCCAGATAAGCTTCGCCAACTCCTGGCATTGTAGCCATTCTAGACTGTCACTGTCTAGAAGTTTTTTAGGGGTGTACCAGAAATGTGAAAACTAAGAAGGTATTTGAAGGCCAAGAGTATGTGGTTATCTCAGCACTTTGCTAGGAGGGAGGCATTCAAATTGCTTGCTGAGTTCTACACAGTATTTTCAACAGAAATGCAACGAGCAGCTAGATGTATGATCCAAGGTGAGAAAGAGCCTGGCCATTCACTTTGCTCATAAGTTTGAAGCCATGTGAATTTACACCTGACTAGCTCTAAACACAAAAAAGAAAGCCTGCAGACTATGAAATTTATTAGTAACAGGATAAATTAACCTAGTTCCAGCTGCACAGTTTTTCAGCAAGTGTTCAGACAGAAAAATGTAACCAATAAAATTAAAAGTTCCCCATTCACTGGAAAAGAGCAGTGGGAAAAAAAAAATTGCTCCTTTTTTGTTTTAAAGTACAAACTGGACTCATGAAAACTGTGTTTTGGATTTCAGTCCTTAGCAAACCGTAACATGTTGCTTTCTCTAAAAGGAAGTGTAGGTCATGTTTTCAAAAACTGAAAGCCAACTTAAAAATATAAATTACTATTGGTGATAGTCTTCTTGATATTTAAAATATTTAAAATTAAAAAATTAAAAACATCGATTTCAGAAAGAAATGAGTGCAAAAGCTTGATTCTATAAAAAAGCATCCAATTCATTATGCTTAGAAACAGGAAAGTTTTAATGATAATACTATGTTGAAAAAATTATAAGTTCATCTAATACTTTGAACTCCCTCCTTCCAATCAGAACAAACTGCAATAGAAATATTTTTAGTACTACAATTTACCATCAGAAGCCAAGATCCAGCACAACTTACTTTTTATTTATGCTGTAATCTTGAGCAGCGTTAGTCAGTGACCCAAAGTAAGGGCTGCTGTTCAGAAACAAGTGAGGGGTCCAGGCTTGCCCTGTAAAACAGAGATGCAGCCAGGGAACACACAATCAAGTTCCTCCCTCTACTCCTTCACTGCACTGCCTAAGCAGAGTTGGGGGTTTCAGAAAGTCCTCGGGGTCTACCTTTGGATGGCCAGGTTAGAGAAAGATATTATGGGTTGTTTGCAAAACCTTTATGCAGGCTTTGCTTTTAAGGAAGTGATACCAGCATATTCGCAAACTAATTTGTCACAACAGGCCCACTGCAAAGGATGTGGCTTACAGGCATATCTGCCATATATTTCTAAAAGGATTAGAAAATAATTAATGTTTAAAAAGCTTCAGGCATTTTGTTTAACAAAGAGATTAAAAATAATGCCAAATAAACTTTTTTCTTATCTGTTTGTTTGACATATATGCTGTTACATGTTTTATAGTTACTTAAGCACAATTAACTAAACCTGAGATAATGGCAAGGCTGCCAAGCAGAGATCTACTGCTCCTTGCTTAGAAGACAGGCAACAAAACCAGCTTCACTTTATTGGAGAAGAGCTGGGAACACCAGTAACAGTGCTTATTTACTTGGTCTGAAAGTAAAGTACCTGACCAGAAATAACTCAAAAAAGTTTTCAGGCTATACTACAAAACCAAAAATACATATGTTTAACTGGATGTCACCAAACTGCCTTGGTTCCTAGGTATTTTTGATGCATTAATGTATGAGGCAAAAAGCCACCAAAACCCAAACATCCAGTCACCCTCCCTAAAAAACAATCAAACAAAAAACCCAAACATAAAAAAAACCCTTATCAAGGTACACAGGGGAGCAGAGAAGGTCAGAGGGTTTATACTGAAGGTTCATATTTTAAGTTGCATTCTATGCAGGAATTTGCATAAGCAGAAAAAAACCCAAAGCCTAGAAAAGGCATGGCAATAGCACTGAGGCCATGAAAGGTTTTAGAAATAAGAGCTTCAGGAGATGAGTACCTCCAGAAGAGGTAAGAGTTAAGTGTGCACAAAAAAAGACATGGGTAGAGCTGAGTTGTTCAGATGGAGTGATGCAGTTAAAAGATTCTCCTTACCAATCTTGTTCTGGTAAGAACTTATAAATATGTTACAGTATCCCACTGTCTGATGCCTCAAATACCTATCTATTGTGTCATCTCCCAGTGGAAATTGGAGGACCATGGAAGGAAACTTGAAGGAAATCTGAATCTCACACAGACAGTAGAAGTCAGTCGAGAGCCCCAAAGAGGAACAGCACAGAGAATAGGGGAGCTGAGGAAACTGGTTCAGATGAAATGATAGAAACAGCAGACTGCAGAGAAGGAGATGTGTAAATCCCAATGACAGAAACACAATTTGCCATCAAGACATCTGCTAAAGGTCATTCAAGGACAGAGCCCAAAAGGAAGAGAGAAGTACCACAACAAAATTTAAATTCTGAGAGTTCCTACGAAAAGGGGAAAAAGAGAGGAAGAAAAATAGCAACGCTGAACAAACATGATCATTAGTCATTTGATCAAAGATCCTGTTTTTCTTTTCTTGACTGACATGTTTTTAAAAGCCTTGTCTGATAGAGAACCCTACATGTCACTTAAGTTAATCCCCCAGAAAACTTTTACTGAACTTTTGAAGTTATTTTGAAAATTATATTCACGTAAAAACGGGTAACACAGAACACAGTTAAATTCCTTTTCTCTAACAAAACAGAGGACTGATATAGCAACTTCATCACACTAACATTACTTACATGGGAAAGAAATTACCAGAAAACACTACCATGAACCCAGAAAGAGGAAAGCTGACAGTGTGTTTAGACTAACAAAAAAAACATGGAAGTGAAACTTGTAAATTCACACTGAACAGAACTGATTTACAAAAGTGCCAACCTACTACACTGGTATTCTAAATAAAAAACGACTTATTTTAAAGAGCTGTTTATGCTCAGAAGATGCAACAGATTGTTCCAGAAATTGTTCTGCCAACATTGTGCAAGATAAAAGAGCTGATGACCATAATGACTGCTCTGCTATAATGAAAAATACACCAAACTATTGCCTCTGGCACTCCTCTTATGTCACTGTTACATTTACAAACATTTCAAGTTTGTAAGAGAGAAAGTGAACAAGCTTCACATCTTTTATTAGCTTACATGTGTATTCTAAATGTTTTTTTTTTCCCAGAAACAAACCAAAAATCCCACATATGCCTACTTTTACTTTTTCACCATTGCATTTCCTATATGGATTAAATCACATATCTACACTTCTCATACTTCATTCCACCAAATACTGTAGTAGCTAGAAAGTTAAAAGGTGAGATAAGGAAACATATGGTCCATGAAACTAATACCAAGTTCCTAATTCAGACTTTAGAGTTTTTGTTTGTAGAATATATATATATTCTGTAGAATATATATATATAAAAGGACATGATTTGCCATATACTTTGTAAGAGCGATGTACTATCTTCACCCTATAATAGAACAAAAACTTCTTGCAGTAAGACTGAACTGAAGTACCCTTGACAGAACTACCTTTCAGCAAGTTACAGCATTGAAAAAAAAAACAAACACTAACAATGAACTCAGCAATTTCAGCCAATTTAAAGACTTAGATGAGAAATTATATTCAAAACACCCACCAGCCCTTATTTGGATTTTTGAAAAGTCCATTTTTTTATGCTTACGATTAGAAAGAATTGAGGATTTTACGAAAGTTACTTACTTATCTCCGAAGAATTTTCTCCAGAAATCTGCAGCATCGGCTTTGGTGATGCGAAAGTTATCACCCTGGAATTGTCCATTTGGAAAAATAGCCTTGATTTCTGCTAACATGTGGCTGAAGATGAGAGACAGCTTTGTAAGGTTTCTTCTGCAGATACAAGAGGGAAAAAAAAAAAAATCACATTAAATCCTTCAAATTTAATCAATCTTCATGTATTTCACATATCCCATGTATTGTGTAATAATCACTGTATGACACAAGAAAAACACTGAGCTTCAACTGAAAACACAGAGAAATACAAATCAGCGGTTCATGTTTCCATGGACTTCTGAGGACATATTTATCATAAGTCTCCATCAATATAAAACCAGTTTTTGGCAACAAAACAAATCTGAGTTCTGAACTGCATATTCAGATAAATTTATTGTGCACTATCCTTTTATGTTTCTATTTCATTTACTCATTGCAGAAGCAAGAACTTAAACTAAGTAGCTTATTTTTAAAAAAAAAAAACAACCAACAAAGAAAAACAAAAAGCTACCCCACACTCAAAAACATAAAATTATAGTTTTGTATGTGACAACAAACCTGTTTCAGTCCAGGTTTCCAGAAATATAAACATGGCATAGAACTAGATTACTCCTTTTTCCTATGATCATTTTAATTTTTTTTTAGTCTTTTCAGCTTTCTCTCACTGTATTTATTCTCCTTCCAAATGCTCTCTAGTTAAAATTTGCTTTCACTAGCATATTGTAAACAAAAATCTAACTTGTTGTAAACAAACAAACAAACAGCTTCTTTGCAATCATCTCATCACATTTTCCAGGCTTGTATCAGTTAATCAAAAATTATTTAGCTTTTGGCACAGAAATCCCATCTAGTATAGTGCAAAGAACAAAGAATCCTTAAATGCAAATAAGCTTTTTGTATGGAAGAATCTGTGGGAAATGGTGAGGAAAGGAAAAAAGAAAGAAGAAGCAAACTTTATGAGAGCATATGCCTGGAGATTCCTTGACACTCCTTGCAGTAAAAAAAGGGCCATTTCCCAAGGAAATATACAAAATAGAGGAGACTGAGCCGTTTCTGATCAAGGATTTGTACTCTTGTGAATTCCACTGGACTATTTTAATGTGTTAGAAGTGTCCTATGTATGTCAAGTCCATTCAGCTTCAACCATCTCAGGTACTACTTAAAAATGACTCAAGCAATTTAATTAATACCACACTAAAATTCTTATCCATCACGTAATTTATAGACAGTTTAAAGACAGTATTTTAAATAAATTCAAACTTATTCATAAGTTCCTTGCCACATGGAAATATTAAGATAGATATTTATTTTAGCTAAACATATTTCCTGGGGTCGTCCTAAAAGAACGCTGAATTTAGCACTGAAGTGGTAATTTTTTCAACTACATTTGTGAACTTTATAATAGAAATTTCTGTGGAAACTGTGTTGCAGATTTACCATAGGTTTTACTACCAAGAAAATGATGATAAAGTTGCTGTGAAAACATAAGTAATTTAAAACAAACAAAGCAACCCCCAATGAATACACTCTCCCTTCCCTCAAGATTAAGAATGGCTATAGGGCTAAGTCATTCAGAGTCCTCTAATTCCTTCAGTAAAATCAGATGTCTGTAATTATGATGCTCAAGAGTTCCTTACTATCCCCCTTCCTACTTCCTTTGTATTTTAATTACACACATGTGTTCTTTATTATTTTACTCCTCAGAACTCAAGCCTGATGGAGAGGAGCAAGCAACAGCTTTTTTCATGTGGCTTCCTGGGTCTGCCCTAGACCCGAGATTAAACAAGAAGCTTTCTGTCCTTGGGACAGATGGGAACATGACTTTGTGCATGTTTGAGCAGAGCTCTGCCTTGCCTGGCACAAGCAGTGTCCCACATTAATGTGCTGTGCTGCAGGGGCTCTCTTTAGGTACAAATTCACCTAGTGAGCTTTGCTGGGTCTGTGGGGCTTGAGCCCTGCAGTGAATTAAAGGATGAAGTGACACAGAGGTGCCATCTGGGGCACTTCCTTGCCCGGAGGGCAGCATGTGTCTGTACCTGCAGAGGCACTGCCTGCTGGACACAGCTGCACAGGACATGGAGAGAACCAGCAGCCCCTAGGATGTGGGCAGTACAGGCCCAGTAAAAACAGCACCCAAATGCCTCTACCTAAATCACAAAGCCTCTTCCTTCCCTCTTAGAACAGCACCAGTCACATAGTGCATCAGGACACTTTTGCTCCAATATATGAAATCACAAGGAAAGGAGAAAAAGTAAAATTATTTTTTGTTTGCATTTGTATAAATAAGAAAAAATATTTTAACATCTGAGACAGCTTCTTTTTATCTTTTTTCTTATTCTTTTTTTATCTTTATCTGACGACAAAGGTGAAACTTGAAACCAACTAAAAGCTTGTCTGTGCTTGAACATATATCAGAGCATGTATAAACAGCAAGAGATGACAAACTCCTGGTAATTTATATGCAGGATATCTGTTTTTTCTCTTTACTTTTGGTTCTTACTCTGTGAGATCATTATCTCAAGTCCTTCAAAAAGCCATGATAAATCACGTCTCAATTTTTTACTTACACAACAGCAAAGCACATACTGCACCATTTTTGATCAGATATACTTATGTGATCTCAGTACCTTCTTGAGGCAGACATACAAAGCTCACTCAGTTCAAAAATGGTTTTCAACAATTACACTGCAGAGATGATAGCACTGGGGTGGGCCAATGACTCTCCCTCCCTGGACACTTCACTTGCCTGAAGATATCTATCCATTTCAGCAGTGTACTCTTCCTGTCTTGGGGAGGGCTTTCCCAAGACACCTCAAGAAATATGTACTCAGACCTAGTAGTTTGTATCGCTGCATTTTTCCACCTAGGATGATTCCCTTCTTTCCCCCATATGAAGGATGAAGCAGTGTCAAAAAAATTTCCATCTTAGTTTCCATTCATATGTTTAAGGCAAGGTATTTAAGTCCTATTCATTTGAAAAAAAACCCAAAACAACTAAAACCATCAAGGCTTGGAAATTTGGTGAACAATTCTAATGGAAGCCAAAGAACTGTTCAATCTGAGCACCTATTTTAGGTCTCATTGCCACCATAAGACTGTAAAGAAACCAGTCTGCACCTCCTGCAGTAACAAAGGCTTTCTTCTGGTCACAGCAAAGACTGATGTAGTGGCAAAGGGACAATTGCACTGCCAGTCCAGAGGAGCAGAAGAGCTGACCTGATAGAGACATGCTCCAGAGACCCTTTGACTCACTGGATTCCAGCAGGGGAGATATCCTAAGGGATCACATTGGAGCTGCAACTCAAATTAACACCATCCAAATTATACAGAAACAGTCGTTTTAATGCCTCAGCAGCCAAGCTTCAGGGTTTAAAATTACACTTTTTCTGGCAACCTGGGGCTGGTTAGAGGTGGAATTTCTTTCCTCAGCTGTGGAACAGAGCACAGACATCTTTATCTCTGCAGAGAAGGGTTTTCATGCTGATAAGAAAAACCTTACCTTACTGAAATTAAAACAACACTGCTTTATACAAAAGTGAACCAAGATGAGGATTCTCCAGTATATAGTGGTTACTGTGGTAAAATATAACAATATTTTAACACTAAATGATGTTATATCAACTGCATTTTATGTAACACACAGTGTAGGTCTCATCCATATTACTTGCAACATACTCAATACCTCCTAGCTGATTTTTTTCTTATGATTCAAGCTTATAATTTGCTACCTTGTCTGACTTTCACCAAGTCAAACTAATGTCATACAGATCAAATCCCTGGATTTGACCCAAACTTGGTTTCTGAAGTACCATTTTGTCAGTCAGAATCTATGTTTTATTGCCAAACATCTTTGCACATGACAGATCTACTGAAGAACCAACATGGTCTGAATCAACCCCAGAGCACCTAAGATACAAAAATTAAAAACTGAATTTTTATTTCATATAAACTTCTGAAGATCTACTGAATCAGTAAGCATCCTTTGGTAAATCAGAAATATGCATTTTTTAATTTCAAAATTAATCCTTCTTTTAGAGTGAGCAAAGCCTGAAGACAATAATTTTGGGTTTCTTCACTTCTCAGCAAATTACTATATTCTGTATCAATTTTCTCTTACACTGTTAGGAGTGGGGTCAGCCTAGAGGATTCTGAAAAGATTTAATAACTGAAGGACTTTTCAAATACCAGTCATATCCAATGTGAAAACAGGGCTTGATAATGGAGACACTACAATATCCCTGCCAAAACAAAACAGCAGGAACAGCTGAGCAGTAGAAGGTCTGAAGCAGTCTTACCCTCCTGGATCTACTGAAAAAAAAAAAAAGGGAAGCATGATCAGCATGCAACAGCACAGATCAGTTTTGGCTGTGTCAACTTTGTACTCACTGTATGAAGTTAATTTTACATGCTGGAAGGCAGTATGGCCCAGCGAAAAGAACTGGACAGGGAATTAGGTGGTGTCAGTTCCTTTCTGCCACTGGCCTGAATTGTGAGGTGGAAGGAACACCTGAGTCCTGCATTTACTGTCTGTGTACATGGATGAACAGAGCAAAATGTTCAGAGAGCACCAAACTTGGAGAGCTCTGGACAAAAACATATGGCACATCCAGCCTGTGCATAAATACACAAAGCAAAGCATTCATCTGTGCCGTGATCCTTCATAATTACTGGATACCACAGACAATAACCAATACAAAGTAATTTTAACAATACATACTTGTTACTACTGCAAAAACTTGAAAGTGTTTCTATCTACCTACATACTACATGTATATATAGTTTCTACTTTCATGCCTAGGTATTACTATGCCCATGAAAAAACATATTTTCATTTTACATCTGCAAATATTTCTGAAACAGAAACCCAGTCTGGAAGAATTGTATGAATGCATAGCTCTGCAGTTATTTATGTTATTCAAAAAATTAGGTTATTGCTGGACTTCCTTCTTCATTGCATCTAGTAAATGTTTAATCCTTCATCCACATTGATACACTTTGTTAAACAATCACCTGCTGTAATAAGCAATACACCTTTCCAAGCTCATAATATATAACTCAATCACCTGGCACAGAAAACATCTTTAGAGTTAGAATAAAATCTGTTTGGCAGCTAAGAA